GTGGTGTTGTTGCTCCAGCTGAGGTTGTCATTCATGTGTACACCCAAGTATTTGTAGCTGGAGACCACTTCCACCACAGATCCTCTTATGTTCAGGGGTTTTTGTTCCTTCTAAAGTCCACAATCATCTCCTTTGTCTTCTTCACATTGATGTGAAGGTTATTCTCTTTGCACCAGCTCTCCAGGTGTTCCACCTCTTGCCTGTAGCTGGACTCATCATTGTTTGTGATGCATCCCACCACCGCTGTATCATCTGCAAACTTTACAATGTGACAGCCTGGATGGGTAGCTGCACAATCATACGTGAGCAGAGTAAACAGGAGGGGGCTCAACACACATCCCTGAGGAGAGCCAGTGCTGAGGGTTATGGTGGAGGAGGAGAGGTTGTGGATCCTCACTAACTGTGGTCTGTTTGTTAAAAAGTCTAGTACCCAGTTGCAAATGGAGGGGCTTAGTCCTAGTGTGGATAGTTTGTCCATCAGGGTTTGGGGGATCATGGTGTTGAAGGCGGATGTGAAGTCCACAAAGAGCATACGGACGTAAGAGTTTTTCTGCTAATAATAAACATATTACAAAAAGAAAAGGCCTTCGTGTCAGCAGAAATGCAAAGCAACATATAAAACTCAAGGAGACAGAGCAGAAACTGACAGGACATGAAGCACATTGGCTGACTGATGGATGAGTCAAAAAAAGAGTATAAATGGATGGGGGCTTGTAAGTAGAGTGGAGACACCTGGGCAGAAAGACCACATGGAAGAGGTGTCCATGGAAAAGACGAGGCTAGGAGTGGAGGATGACTGTGGAAAAGTACTGACAGAGGGAAAGAGGCTGGTAGCACAAAATAGATGACTTGAACATGAAGAAAAAAGTCGAATGAAAATGCAAGGAGCAATGTGACAAGTGTCAAAAACACAAAACTCATCACCCTGACAGAGTCTGCATTCTTTTTTTTTTTCAGTAAAAAAAAAAAAACATAACGAAAAACAGAATTACATTAAGCCAAAGTGGAAGTGGCCGGAATCACATTAGAAAAAACAGAATTACATTTGAAAAAACGGAATCACATTAGAAAAAAACAGAATTATATTAGAAAAAGCAAAATCACATTTGAAAAAACAGAATGACATTTTAAAAAATGGAATTACATTTGAAAAAAACAGAATGACATTTGAAAAAAAAACGGAATTACATTAAGCCAAACAGGAATTTTTTTTTTTACTTTATTAATTGCATAAAACCGAACAACAGAACAATATACAGTACACACACAACGGAGATATGTGCGTACTGTATATTCTAAAAAAGTTGTCAGGTCCTCTGGGTGTTCAAAAAACAACAACAAAAAATAAATAAAATTGTAGTGACATTTCATCTTTACGGATGAGACTAACCTGTAGAAATAAAGGTTGACTGAATCTGCAAAAAGCAGAAATGAGTGGTTTTCAAACTCACCTTTCCACGACTCCTTTCTGGAATCCAGTCCATGAACAATACAAACAGGACCAGAGACCGTCCCTCATCCGTTCATCCGCTCAACTCATTAGTTCAATGTTGATGTGTTCATGCATGCTCATCTGCTCACACAGACTCATGTTCATGTTTGTGCTGATGTTCAATGTTTTTATGTTATGAGTGCTTAGTGTATATTTAGTTGATGTTTTTCTTAGTTCATATCTTAGATCAAACCTGGGCATTGTACGGCCCCCCCGGCCACATACGGCCGTTTGATTGACTCAGACCGGCCCGTGTAACGTTAATTGGAAATTACAAAATAAACATATTTTCTTATTTTACCTGATGCATGGACTGAAGCTGCATTGCTTTTATTTTGAAGTTGTTTTTTATTTACGTACATGATGACGCAAAACGTATATTGAGACATGCACGTGATTTGATCGTTGTCACTAGCAAGTCACAAGACGACTTTAGCCCTCAGAAATGTCTGCTTATGCTAAAAAAAGAAAGGTAGATGCCAAATGCAGGGTTTTCAACAAAAATTGGACTGCTAAGTATTTATTTACTGAAGTCAGGGGTAAAGCCATGTGTTTAGTTTGCCGGGAGCAGATCGCCGTGTTTAAGGACTACAATTTGAGTCGGCATTACGAGACGAAACACGGGGAGAAATACAAGAACGTGACTGACGCTGAAAGGGCGCGGACATCGGAAGCTTTGCTAGCTAAACTGCAAAAGCAGCAAGGCTTTTTTACCAAGTTTCACACATCCAGGGATGCAGCAACCAAGACCAGCTTTGTGATAGCTCACAAAATCGCTAAAAACAGTAAGCCATTCTCGGAGGGGGAGTTTATCAAAGAGTGCTTGGTGGACTCTGCAGCATTAATATGCCCTGGAAAAAAAAGAAGCATTTGCGAAAGT